AGGATTTCAAGTTCAAAGCCATCCTCAGCAAAAGCGAGGTGCTAAACAACTCAGTGAGACCCTGTCTCTAAATAAAATACAAAATAGAGCTGGAGATGTGGATCAGTGGTTGAGTTCCCTGAGTTCAATCTGTGATACCAAAATAATAATAATAATAATATTGTTATGATCTCTCTTTGGTCATTTTTTAATTTGTTTTCATTATTTTTCATTCCTACAAACATTGCTGCATTGAGCATCCATTTACATCTACATAAACACACAAACACATAGATTTATGTCCTTGTGAATGTGTAATTCCTAGCAGTAGAGCTGCTAGGTTCTGCAATATGTACATTTGCAATTTTGTTTGATATTGCTCTTCAGAAAAGATTGCACCAATTCACCAATGAGAATTGAGCTGAGTCTCAATGAACCTTCTACTTCAGAACAGGTTTCCTGTTCACACAGTCTTTGTGCTGTTCTGCTTGCCTGTTACCTGCATTCTAGAGATGAATGCTTTCTTGTTAAGCATCGGGGTCAAGATGCTGTCCAGATTCAAGAAATAAAACTGCAAAAGGACCTCTGAGAGCTCTGCCTGGAATGCCCTTTCTTATTCTCTTGTTAGACCAAACAGCTCAGCAGTCAGTTCTGCACGCATGGTCTCTACTCTGTCAGATTGCAAGCCTAGTGCAGCCAGGGACCTGTGAAGTCCCACTTCTGCGCCCTTCAGAGTGTTGAAATGCTTCACAACACAGTAAATGTGTCCTATTGACCCAGACAGGTTGCATGAGCAACCCAGAGTGCTTATTCGGAGATGCTTAGTTCCTGTAAGGCCAGTTACTGAGCTCATCAGGGCTGGCTCTCTGAAATTGCAGCTCTCCTGTTAACCTGCAGTCATTTCAGCTGGAATTCAAAGCAGATCAGTTGAAAAGACTCAGCCTTTAAAGCATTATATTCAACTGGAAAGCTATCTTGTCTCATTTTGCCTTTATCACCCTCAAGAATATTTACTTCTTTCATTTCAACTTTAGAATTCATAAGGAATGTGATGACAGGTACAGTGATTTAGTAATAGACTGTATATATACTCCATGAAATTGAACAGATTTTTTACTTCTGAATTGAGGTTTTGGATTTTATTTTTAGGCAAGTGAAATATTTAGCTGACTAGAGGAAATCAAACAGTAAAGTACTAACATAGCAAATCACCTATATATTTACCAGGCATTTGTACAATGAACTTTTATTAAATAGGTGGCATTACATGAAATTTAATAATTTTAAATTTTATACTAGATTGAGAATTGAGATTTAATTTTTGGATATTACTTTGAACATATGAAATATTTACTGACTTTAGTTCAGGAAATTAAATGAGATAACATGTAAAATTCATATAATAGAAAGTATATTTTTGTGTGTGTGGTGCTGGGGATTGGACACAAGCGAACCCTACCACTGAGTTACACCCCTAGCCTTTTGTTTACTTTGAAACAAGGTCTCACTAAATTGTCCAGGTTGGCCTGGAAATGGATGTCCTTTACCTCAGCTTCCCCAATGGCTGAGCTTATAGGCATGTGCTACCCCTCCCAGTAAAAAGGTATATTTTGAAAAAAATTATTTAAAAAAAACCATAACATACAATAATATTTAATAAACAAAACACTTATATAATAAATAATGAATATACTCTGCCATTGTTTACAGAATGAAATTAAGTGTACCTGTTTAACAAAAGGAACACTTGCTAGTGGCTAGGAAGGTAAAGATGCGTTAAACACAGTCCCTACCTTGAAGTGGTTTACAGTGGAGTGTAGACAGGTAAAACTCTGATAGGTTTCAAGATAGAGAAGAGATTTAAGAACAGGAAGAGAAGGTGACAAAGAAGGTGGGCCTAACTAGAGGTAGTTATAGTAGGAGCCAGGGTGTCGTTTTGACTAGAGGAGCTAGGCTACTATGATGAGAAGGGTGTAGGAGTACTTTGGGGATGTTGGGATGAATTGTGCCCTGATGTTTGACTGGACATGGTGGTGCTAAAACAGTGGTGTGATCATCAAGACCAGAGGGACTGTGATGCCACCAAGTAAGAAAATTCAGATGGAGCAGGTCCGCGGGGAGCTGGAGCATTATAGGGCATGCCGAGTTTCAGGTGACTGTGGGAGTTTTAGCTGCATTCACTCAGCAGATGCTGTGCTGACTGTGGAAGTTATGATGGTGAAAATATCTCAGATTTTGCTACCTCTCTTAGATGTAGGAACTGAAATTGGGTGGAGAAGTGAAGGCTAGAGATAGATTTTGGACTCCTTTGTGTATAACAAGTAGCTCAAAACACAGGGTGAATGGAATTACCAAGGCCGATTTTGCAGAAATCTTGTTTGAGGAGCAGTGGTCTGAGGAGAGAACACTGGGGATGTCAACAGTTAAGGGTAGGCAGGAGATTCCATGAAGAATATGGAGTGGGAGCCATTTGGGAGGGCCAAGAGAAGACAGGAAAATGCAGGGACTTTGACTGGAGAATTCCAGACTGAAGGAGAGGAAAGTCTGTCAGATGCTCTCAGGGTTCTAGTCCCCAAAAGTTTGTAAAGCCCTTGTAACAATGTGGGGAAATGCTTCATTTTAATATCTGGTGAAATCAGGTTCTCAGTCTTTATACAGTGTGTTCTCAAATGTTTTAAATCACATAGGGATTAAGAAAAAAAAAATCTAGGCTAGACCAAAATGCTAAAAGTAGTTTTCATTGAAGAATTAAAATTATTTTTTCTTCTTCATAATTAAAAAATTATCATTTTCTATATCAACCAGGGATTACTGTTATAATCAGGAAAAATAAAAATAAGGCCATGGAGCCCATTGTAATAATTTCTTGCTTTTGTCTTAAGCAGAAAGGTTGCCTTACAGCTTACGATCTATATGGTACAGCCAAATTGACTTTATGAGCTTTACACATATTGGTCAATGTTATAAAGTTTTGAGGTCCGTTAAAATCTGTAGCTTATAGATGTTGACAGCAAAGTAAAATAACGATTATAGCTGCTGAGCGACTTGTTTGCTGGGTTCAATAAAGATGGTTTCTTATAAAATAAATCCCTTACCCCAAGATTAAGAACTTGCACTGTTAAAACACTTGATAACTTACATGTTATTATTCTCTCCTTTCTTCTAGATAGAAGCAGATTCTGTGATGTCTTCAAAAAATTCCAGTACTTCTGGTAATATAAATGTTAATTTTAATTTTAGTACCTTTATTTAGTGACTCACAAAACTAAAAGACAAGAAAAAAAATAGGTACTATGTGTTGTGTTAAGCACATCTTTATTTTATTTCTATCACTCAAAAGAAAGTTTTGGGTTTTTATATTTGATTAATTAGTTTAAAACTAAGATGTGTTTACAGTAGGAAAAATTAAGCCATTGAAAAGCATAAAGACAAAAATGTCACTCATCATATTTTTTGAGCAACTGGGTGAATGGAGGTGACTCTGAATGGGAAGACTGGGGGAGAATATTTGGAGTGGGGGGAGACTAGAAGTCCAATTTTGTGTTAAGTTTGAGAAATTTCAATCCATTATGTCAAAATAAATTGGGTCTGTATGAATATGGAACTCAGAAGAAAACTGTGGACTAAATAAATTTGGTAGTCATCAGCATGTAGATGGTTTTTAAATTATGGAATGGATGAGACTACCCTAGAGAGAGAGAGAGAGAGGGAGGGGGGACTGAGAACCTTAGGAACTATAACTAATAGTACTCAGAGGATGAGGAAGAGACTAGGTGACTTAGGAATGGCAGTGGGTGGAAAGAAAATCAGCAGTATTTGATCAAAACCCAGGGAAGTGGCTGTTCTAGTGGAGAGACTATGGTCACCATTACCAAATGCTCCTGAAAGGTCAAGTAGCTTAAGAACTGAAGGGTATCTGTTGGAGGTGGTCACCTGGAAGTGTTGGTTATGTCAGCAAGAGGAATTTCTACATATGGTGACGGCTGGAGGCCAGGCTAGAGTGGGTTGAGAATAAATGGAGAGTGATAAAAAGTGACAACAAATAGATAAGTTTTTCAGTAAGTCTGGAATGGCTGTAGATATTTTATTTGTTTTTTTTTTAATATTTTTAATTGTAGATGGACATAATACCTTTATTTTATTCATTTATTTTTACATGATGCTGAGGATCAAACCCAGTGCCTCACACATGCTAGGCAAGCGTTCTACCACTGAGCCACAACCCCAGCCCTTATTTGCTTTTTTGTTTGTTTGGTTTTTTAAAATGTAAGAACAGGTTTTAAAGCTTAACAGAATGATTTAGTGAAGAAGAACAAGAGAGAGAAGAGAGAGAGAAATCCTTTATGTGAAGGGGATAGGATCCAGAATGTTCTGGAATGGCTTTTCAGTAATGACCTGCATGTGGAAATAAAACTTACACAGAGTTGCAAAATAAAAGCAATAGAGTATAGCTATGCACTCTCCCCAGATTCACTTACTGTTAGTGTTTTCCCCACCTCATCCTCATCCACAGCCCATAGTGTGCATAATCCTGCATACTTATCTACTTCATAAGTTTATATCAATGCTTCATTTTAATCTAATTTACCATCTATATCCCATTGTTGTCAGTTTTTCTAGTTATATTATTCCCCCTTTACTCTAGGAATTAGTTTTTGGTTTTATCTCTCTTTAGCCTTCTTTAATTTGAAATGTCTCTGCAGTCGTTTTGTTTTCCCTTTTTGCTTTTCTTGTAACATAGTTATTTTTTTAGAACACAGTATGCCCCTTACCTTTTCGTTTTTATTTTTAAAGAACATTCCTCATTTTTTTCAGTTGATATACTTCGTGATTAGACTGGGATCTTGCCTTCCTGGCCAGAATACTGTTTAGATGAATTGCTTTTCTTCTGGGTACTCATCTGGAGGCATATAGTATCCATTTGTGTCTCAAAGATGACATTCATTTCATCACCAGTTGAGATGTTGTTTAATTTCTCCATTGTGTCATTTATTTTTTATTGTCTTTCATTGCAACTAATTGGTAGTCTGTGGAAAGACACTTTTAAGTCAATGCAAATATTCTTCTTCTTGTCAGAATCTCTCCCTAGATTTGATATCCATTTATTATTATTGTCCAATCTAGTTTTGCCATAACAGTTGGAAAATAATGATTTTTCTACTCCCAAAGCCTCCTTCTATCAGCCCTTGACATTCTACTATCAAGAAACTTCTTTCTTTATCTGTCTCTCTGTTATCAATGTGGACTAATGGATTTCTATGTTTTTAATAATTTATAACTCATTACTGTATTAATTATTTTAGTGCTCAGTTCTTACAGATTTGACCAG